TTTTAAAAATGTTTTAAAACTAACGACTACAGTTTGATTACAACGACGGTGGCGCCACTCAAAGCGCACGGTCTGATAAGTTGCGCAAAACCACTTTTCAGCAAAGGGCTACAGACCAAAGGTGTTCTTATTTATTCATTTAAAAGCAAAAGGATTGTAATATCCTCTAAACGACATATAGTTTCAGTTATAATATGGATAAATTTGCCCTAAAATGAATATCGTTCGGTTAAATAGCATTTAGGTATAAATATAATTGCACTTTTGTGATTAGCCCTCGGTCTGTAACGTACAAAATAAATTGTCAAATACGCAACTTTTTCGAGGTGGCAGCACGGTCCCGGGTGTCATGGCGCCGTTCAAATTTCGTAGCGTCGTGTAATTAATTATAACAATTAAATTAGGTATCTGGTAACAAATACGTGTGGGTATAGACGATTTGTTATACAGTAAGTACAGTTGTATGCAGTAAAATCCTAGAGGCTACTGTCCCTTTAATGATTATCGCTCCTGATCGTAACGGCCGCTAGAGGGTCTACTCACCAGAGGGGGAGTTGCTAGAACACGGGCGTCGAAGGAGGGTCACGTGATGTGGCTGCACTTGTGTTAGGATTAGGGTTAGGGTCAGGGTTAGGGTTAGGGTTAGGATTAGGGTTAGGGTTAGGGAAATAAGGCCATGTCTAGCACGGAAGTACGACTGTGGAATCTTTCTGTGGAAGATTTGGACTTTGAAGCGTACGAATAGACTGGTACCGGTTCGCCACCTTCACTCCGGCATATATCCTTTGCTACACTGACGTAGACGATGACGGTGACGGTTGACGGTGACGGTGACGTTGACGGTGACGGTGACTACTCTGTTAGTGTAGCGTGTGGAACTGTCGACCGGGTACCAGTCTAGCGTACGAAGTGACTAGTGCTGCCACGTAACGGCACCCTCTTTCGACGCCCGTGTTCTAGCAACACCCCACCAGAGGAGCCATGCAGTTAGGCTGATATAGGGTCTATGTAACGTGTGTGCGTGAGCGCGTGTGTGTGACGTGTGTGCGTGAGCGCGTGTGTGTGACGTGTGTGCGTGAGCGCATGTGTGCGACGTGTGTGCGTGAGCGCGTGTGGGCGACGTGTGTGCGTGAGCGCGTGTGCGTGAGCGCGTGAAACGGTAATCACCGTACCCAGGGTACGTTCCGGCAGTACCTTGGGGGCGTGAGCGCATGTGTGTTGCGACGTGTGTGCGTGAGCGCGTGTGTGCGTGAGCGCGTGTGTGCGACGTGTGTGTACACGCGCTCACGCACACACGCGCTCACGCGCACACATCACACACACACGCTCAGCACACATGCGCTCACGCACACACGTCGCATACACGCGCTCACGCACACACGATAAAAAAAAATCGTGAGCCCCCTTAGGTATTTGCCCCCCAATCCAAAACTGCTTCCGACGCGCCTGTTAATCACCATTCCCAAAAGTAGGATATGTTCTAGAAGGATGTTGAAAAAATAAAGAATTTCTATTAGAGAGGTGGATAGAAATTTAAAATAGAGAACATGGGCATACCCATGAATAGTTTCTCTTAAAAATGTTTAACCCATAGCCTCACTATAATGATAAGGCACAAAAGAAACTCAATGTCAATGTTTGTGTCTAAGTCGTCTGCACACATCTTCTGGTCGTTGATGCAAATCTACGGACATCAACATTAGATAAACATTGAACGATCACCGTCTGATTCGTACAAAGAGTAATTCGTTGAATTGATTCGCATAATAAAATTTCACGAGATTTATTGCACTTCTTCGTCCATTATGATAGAACAGCTGCTGTATACATGTAGCACTTATTCCTCTACATACGTCCAATATTAAAATCTAAATTAATCTAATTAAAATAATTATAATGATCTGAATTAATCTAAAATTAAATATAAATCTAATATTATCAATTGAACTTAGATCTGTGTATAATTTTTCATTTTAAGAAGTGTGTTGAATTGGTGGGGGACTTCCCGGTTGCTAAATATTCTTATTAAGAAGGAACTTTCCTTACATATATCACATATATCTAATATATATATATATATATATATATATATATATATATATACATATACGTACATATATCTATATATGCAGGAGTATAATAATAGTAAGATAATATAATAATAATAATAATAATAATAATAATAATAATAATAATAATAATAGCAGAGCTAATTACAATAAGCCCATTATGTCAGACTATACTAGAATGACTAGACTAACACAATGTCACTGGCCGACAAGACTTGTGTCATGCCGTCGAGGTTAAACAATGGCATACACTATTATACCGTATTACCAAATGTTACCAAGAAAATACGGTTAGGGTTGGGGTTAGGGCGAGGCTT